CTTGACTTTTGCAAACTATGAGCGGGCGGGGAAGACTGCGCAAGTGCTGGAGCAGCTGCAGGACCTTTGCCCCACTGAACGCCAGCCTGTTTGTGTGCTACTCCACAACCTTTCACCTACTTCGGCTATTTTGGCCGCGCCGGGAGCCCTCGGCAGCTCAACAGCTCCGGCGGCTGCAGCGTCGGGTGACAGAAAGATGAGAACAGGAAGATGTGACCCTTGTTTGTAATGCTGTTTCTGGTCTTTTTTTTCCATACAAAGGGATGCATAAATATTTAGAAAACAAAGGTGTTAGTGGATTAAAGTATCAACCCAGTTACGCAGATGCAGACCCATCTGCAGGCGGAGGGCGAGCACGTTGCCCACGGTAGGGCTGGAAATTTCACGAAGTGCTGCGCATATGGCATATGCCCTTCAGTCGTCATTCCTTCTGCTTACATGCAAAACTTCCTAGTGCTACTATTTATTTCCACCGTAACTTAGTGCTCCTCCTGGGTCATCGTTTACCCTTCCTTACAAAAGCTGAATTACAAGTTGCTGTTGTCCCTAGCAGAAAATATTAGTCTGGTTTCCCAAGGGACGAAACTTCAATAAATTGCTTATTCACCTGTTTGCCAGACTGCCCCTCCTAACCATTTAAATCAAATTTGAACAGATAATCAACGTCCTACAAACTTTGTGCAAACCGGGACACTGTTGAGGGAGGAGAGATTCAAATTTTGGTCCACATTGAGGAAAAGGCAGAGGAAGCTCAGCCAAGACTCGCTCTACTGGAGAGCAGCAACCCCATCAATTGATGTCACAAGTTTCCTGGCTGGTCAGGAGAGGTCACCCACCCCAGCACAGCAGATTGTGTCTCCACCATTAGTCGGCAGGCAGGTTAGGAAGAAGAGCAGTAAGTTTGTGTCCCTGTGGAGAAAAAAGTAGGGCAAAATCAGGCAAGACACCTTCTATTAGACATCAGCAACACGGCCAGTTGTCACGTATTCTGGCTAGCCAGGAGCATGGCTCTGACCTAAGTACAGCACGCTGCGTCTCCGGCAGTGGGGAGGATGTGCTGCCATTCAGCGTGACCTGGACAGGCTGGAAAGCTGGGCAGAGAGGAACCTGATGAGGTTCAACAAAGGCAAATGCAGGGTCCTGCACCTGGGGAAGAACAACCCCATGCATCAGTACAGGCTTGGGGTGGACCTGCTGGAGAGCAGCTCTGTGGAGAGGGACCTGGGTGTCCTGGTGGACGACAGGTTAACCATGAGCCAGCAGTGTGCCCTGGCTGCCAAGAAAGCCAATGGGATCCTGGGGTGCATCAAGAAGAGTGTGGCCAGCAGGACGAGGGAGGTTCTCCTTCCCCTCTACACTGCCCTAGTGAGGCCTCATCTAGAGTACTGTGTCCAGTTCTGGGCTCCCCAGTTCAAGAAAGATGAAGAGCTACTGGAGAGAGTCCAGCGGAGGGCTACAAGGATGGTGAGGGGACTGGAGCATCTCCCCTACGAGGAGAGGTTGAGGGAACTGGGCTTGTTCAGCCTGAAGAAGAGAAGGCTGCGAGGGGACCTTATAAATGCCTACAAATATCTGAAGGGTGGGTGTCAGGAGGATGAGGCCAAGCTCTTTTCAGTGGTGCCCAGTGACAGGACAAGGGGCAATGGGCACAAACTGAAGCACAGGAAGTTCCGTCTGAACATGAGGAAGAACTTCTTCCCTCTGAGGGTGACGGAGCACTGGAACAGGCTGCCCAGGGAGACTGTGGAGTCTCCTTCTCTGGAGATATTCAAGACCCACCTGGACAAGGTCCTCTACAACCTACTGTAGGTGACCCTGCTTTGGCAGGAGGGTTGGACTAGATGACCCACAGAGGTCCCTTCCAACGCCTACCATTCTGTGATTCTGCGATGTGAGGAACATCGAGGAGGGAGAGAGCCGATTGTGATGGATAGCATTTAGGGGACAAATGGTCAGGAATCCGGGCTTCATTCGTTCCACTCCTCTAGACCCAGCTGTTATGCAAAAACACAGAATGTTAACGTAGCTCCATTTTATTAAGGATAGTCAGCAAAATGCTACTGAGACTGAGCAGCTGAAAGCTTTGTTGCTGCCTTTTCAAAACGCCCCTTTAGAAAAGGAAAGTTAAAATATTAAAGCAGCAGAAATGAGACCCCATCCGATGAATGTTGCAGTGCAGAATCTGGTACTGTCCTTCACCATCAAAATGCTGCTCTCCGACACCTGCACTTCCAACTGTCACATGCACTGGGGCTTCAGGAGGAGAGGGGAAATGGTGGTTTGGAGAGGAAATAACGTGAGAACAAACAGTACTGCAGCCAGGATAGATTGTGGAGTTACTTGCAGTGGTTACAATTTTCACAGCCTAGCCTCACCTACATGCAGTTAGGCTGACAATGAATCCCGACATATTGTTACTTTTGTGCCTAAAACTTGGCTGTCTTGCCCAATATCCAGGACATCCTTAAAAATTATTTCCCAGCTGTATCATTTATGTTTACAGAAATTGAAAGTTATATTGTTGAGAACCTACTGTAACATATGACATCACACAAAGAGTGAGAAGTGAGGTTGTATTATGAAGGAGACACACTTCTTCCAGAAGCTCATTGGAGTAATATAACTCTGCTAATTGTTGTGCTGCTGACTTGTATCATTCTTGTAGAATTTTATTTTGTTTTGAAAAGCACCCAGGTTTTGAGCTACCGGAGCCATGCCCTTTCAATAACTGGGGAAGGCAACATGCTTCTTATGTTTCCTGCAACTACAATGGTACTGTTTGTTAAGAGCTAACATGAACACGTAAGATTTTTGTTTATCCCTTACTGCATATAAATACCAGGAAAGCTATGAAAAAACAACTCGCTGTAAAAAAAAGAAAAAAAGAATGTAAACAACAGCAATCGTTCCTAGTAGGCTTTTCCCCTATTCAGAGTCTGTAATATGGCTAGTCACAAAGGTTATTCAAGTTACTTATATTAAGCAGGATCAGCACACCAACAGAATAAAAATTATCTCACCAGGAGTAGAAATAGTGACCTTATAAACAGGAATAACTGCCTAGCGTGGAGGACTTTCTTGACTCAGATTTTGTTGCGAACTGTTAATCTTGAGATTCTTGCTTCCCATTGATCAGTAGCTTCAGGAAGAACATGAAAGAAAACAAAAGCTATCGTACACACGCTCCATAATTTGAGCAAATTTGTGGGCTATTTTTACTTCTGTGAGTCATCTGCAACTTGCAGGCAAACAAAGTTAAAACAGTCAAAAGCAAACCCCAACATCTATTCTCAAATTTCCAACTTCTGGCAAGCGCAAGAAAAATCAAAGTGGTTACATTTGTTATTGTTAGAAGTCTTCGTCTTGCTTCATTTCACATTTCATATGCCAACAGTCAATCGCTGTGGTAAAACCTAATATATCTGATGGAACAACAACAGACTAACTCTCCCAATAAAATAATAAGAGAGCAGTAAAATAATAAAAACAGAAAGTACTGTGGAAGTAGAACAGTGAGCAGGGATAACAGATGCAATGACTAGCAAGACAAAAGTGAGATAAAGTTCAAAAAAAATCTAACGAACAGCCCAAGTGTTCTCTTCTGCCTATTAAACATTAAAATATGAATTTCTTGTTAGGAATGTATCTTCCTTCCCATGAAAAAAAGGACACATATTTGTGTGTGCGTGTGTGTAGAAACATACGCATTTAAAAATTGGATTGAGGAGTCATATGAAAGTATTAAGGCTATATTCTTTTGTATCGTTTCATTGCCACACGCTCCCACTGTTACTGACGAAGACTTAGGATGTTGAGAAGTCCTTTGTTGACATGGACTCCATTCTTCAAGGCATTATGCTAACCCTGCCCTTAGTGAAGTGGACTTGGGCATCCTGGGAAAAAGCCAGGCAGCACTGGAGACCGAAGTCCCCTCTCCAGCCAAGAGGAAAGGTGTGCCGGCTCTTCCCAGCTCATCCGTGACCCTGGGAGATGAGCAGCCCGCACGAGAGCTGTTTGCCTCACGGGTCAGCTCTGGAGAGAGTAAACAAGGGCCAGACGGCGATTTGGGACGAGCGCGTCACCAAAGCCGCTCCCTTCAGGTATTTGGTCACCATTAATCCAGGTCGCGGTGAGGACCTGCACGTCAAGCACCCAGAGCGGTGGCATTCTCTGGGCCGACCCCGGGCCACCAGTAACTCCACCGCTAGCCCTGGGTGCGA